AATTGAGACAGTGAACTTTCGTATTAAAATTGTGACCCTTGGAAATACTGTACTCACAAAAAACATTCAGAAGATTTTTTAAATAAATGATTTGTAATGGTATATGCATGAGTGAATATACGCATAAAAATGTTGTTATATGCCGGGTGTTTGTTTGATATAGAACACAGTGTAGAAAGGGGTGTCCAAAGCGAATGGGAGTTGGCACGAGGCCGATTGAAACCCCCCTCTGACCATGCCCATGCATCTAGAGTTGTAAATGTGGACAATATCTTTAAAATGGCTCCAAAGGTAAAAGTATTTGGACTATGTCTTTCAAAATGGCCATTAAGACGTGACCATTAAGACTAACCAATGGCACCTAGTAGAAATAAATGAACATTGAATAAGGTTTAAAGGTGCCAAATATTAGTTCAAATCCATGCTGGATGACTGTGTTGTTCACATTTGTTTGACTTACATTTTTTGGCTCACCCTGTATACCATAATTATTACTAAAATGGAATAACCAATAATTATAACACTGATGTCAATAACATCATTGCAAGTATTTCACCAGTATTTGCATAGTCGCGTGATAAAAAATGTTTAACTGATCTAAATGGAAAATCGACCATTACTTGTCATGAACATGAATCACATGTTCTGCCAAGATGTGAATTCAATCCTTACAGTAGTTGCCGCAGACATGAAATTCTGTATTTAAGATGTTACTGTATGTCACTTGATATTTTTTTTTCTAGGTTGACATAACCGTTCCAAGATCATTAATCAACCACAGAGTACTTTCCATTTGGCAAACCATTTGCCAAAATAAATAATATGTTTTTATTAGGTGATATCAATCGTCGGTAAAACTGAAAGTAATTATCCACCGGGTGACGATGAGCAAGCGAAACTTGGAACCACAATAGCAAAGGTTTAAAGAAAGTCCAAAAACTATAATTTGCTACACCTTATGCCTAGGTCTCATAGCGACCGGGCGCCGGCCGATGAGTAGTCATCGGCCGATTTCTAAATTGACCGGGCGCCGGTGACTGTTCCACATAGCCGAAAACGAAATACTGAACGATAGACAGGACTTGGCCTATCCTCAAAGAAATTGGCAATTTTTTCTTCTATTTCTAGTGGAGTACCCTCTTCCCTAGACACATCTAAATCTTCATCATCCACCAGCTCACTAGCATTGTTATTGTCTTTTTCCACCTGTCTTCCCAAGGCCTTCCTCATATATGGCCCATTGGCCTTATCCCCTCTATCCTTAGCCTTTGGCATATTAACTGAAATTGAGACAGTGAACTTTCGTATTAAAATTGTGACCCTTGGAAATACTGTACTCACAAAAAACATTCAGAAGATTTTTTAAATAAATGATTTGTAATGGTATATGCATGAGTGAATATACGCATAAAAATGTTGTTATATGCCGGGTGTTTGTTTGATATAGAACACAGTGTAGAAAGGGGTGTCCAAAGCGAATGGGAGTTGGCACGAGGCCGATTGAAACCCCCCTCTGACCATGCCCATGCATCTAGAGTTGTAAATGTGGACAATATCTTTAAAATGGCTCCAAAGGTAAAAGTATTTGGACTATGTCTTTCAAAATGGCCATTAAGACGTGACCATTAAGACTAACCAATGGCACCTAGTAGAAATAAATGAACATTGAATAAGGTTTAAAGGTGCCAAATATTAGTTCAAATCCATGCTGGATGACTGTGTTGTTCACATTTGTTTGACTTACATTTTTTGGCTCACCCTGTATACCATAATTATTACTAAAATGGAATAACCAATAATTATAACACTGATGTCAATAACATCATTGCAAGTATTTCACTAGTATTTGCATAGTCGCGTGATAAAAAATGTTTAACTGATCTAAATGGAAAATCGACCATTACTTGTCATGAACATGAATCACCTGTTCTGCCAAGATGTGAATTCAATCCTTACAGTAGTTGCCGCAGACATGAAATTCTGTATTTAAGATGTTACTGTATGTCACTTGATATTTATTTTCCTAGGTTGACATAACCGTTCCAAGATCATTAATCAACCACAGAGTACTTTCCATTTGGCAAACCATTTGCCAAAATAAATAATATGTTTTTATTAGGTGATATCAATCGTCGGTAAAACTGAAAGTAATTATCCACCGGGTGACGATGAGCAAGCGAAACTTGGAACCACAATAGCAAAGGTTTAAAGAAAGTCCAAAAACTATAATTTGCTACACCTTATGCCTAGGTCTCATAGCGACCGGGCGCCGGCCGATGAGTAGTCATCGGCCGATTTCTAAATCGACCGGGCGCCGGTGACTGTTCCACATAGCCGAAAACGAAATACTGAACGATAGACAGGACTTGGCCTATCCTCAAAGAAATTGGCAATTTTTTCTTCTATTTCTAGTGGAGTACCCTCTTCCCTAAACACATCTAAATCTTCATCATCCACCAGCTCACTAGCATTGTTATTGTCTTTTTCCACCTGTCTTCCCAAGGCCTTCCTCATATATGGCCCATTGGCCTTATCCCCTCTATCCTTAGCCTTTGGCATATTAACTGAAATTGAGACAGTGAACTTTCGTATTAAAATTGTGACCCTTGGAAATACTGTACTCACAAAAAACATTCAGAAGATTTTTAAAATAAATGATTTGTAATGGTATATGCATGAGTGAATATACGCATAAAAATGTATCACTCTATTCAATGTGTATGACAGACATACACGATTAATGTCAATATAAGAACGACTAGATCATCCCACCCGCCCAGCCATTCAAATGTGTGTCATTGTTTTACAGTAAGCCTAATCGTTCCATTTATGTTTTATAAAAAATCTCTGACAGTGAGTAGTAATTATAATTCCTTACCTCATTATTTCTAAAACCTTTATATCACTTTATAAGTAATCATTATTAAGATTTATCAACAAATCAGCACGCAAAATCCAAAGATGACCGTGCGATGCCACCGGGCGCCGTAAGATAATCGTACGATGACCGGACGGGACACGGCCGGGTAGGTACCGATGAGTTTGGTTGAGAAAAAATCGCCAAGACATCGGCAACTTTTATCTCCGCGATAAAACTCTGCCGGGCGCCCGTACGATGCTCGGGCTCGCCGGCCGATTTTGAACAAAATATACTCATCGGCCGGGCGCCGTAGTGAAAATCGGAGCCTATGTGACCAAGGCATAACAAGTTGGTTTTCAATGTGAAAGGGATGTTTGGTTGATAACAATACGACCGTGATATACCAGTTTTCTAATCGAAACAGAACTTGAAATTCTAACGGCACAATTTATTTGTCACGCTTCCAATAATCAAATTGGAAATCAAGTACATTTGAATTAAATCGAGATTAACAATACTTTTACTCTATACAGTAGACTGACCGACAAATCGCCATATGTGGACCAGGTTGAGACGCCTGGGATTAACTTAAGTCCTGCAATGGATCAGAATAAACGCTATCGTAAATCACAAATTACTACTTGGAAATCCCTATATCCTTTTGAACCGATATAAGTCATCGGAATTATGTCTGTACTCAGGATGATTGAAAACTGAATCCTCGTCGACACGTTTTCAACATCTCATCTTTAAAATGGCTTGGTATCGCTACATCTCATCTTTAAAATGGCTTGGTATCGCTAAATAAAGAATTCGGTGACACCAGCAATTTGAGATCGTAATAAACCCGCTTCGAGTCATATCTAGTGCAATAAAAATTATGGTTGTGAATAAAACACGTTTAGAAACTACCTGATAGAGCCTTATAGATATGATGAGAACTTAATGATAGAACTAAATATCGAATCGAAACAGAAGATACAATTTTTGTCTTGAATGATCAAAAGAAAATGATGGTTTTTAAATGCCGAATCATATCTATAGGGAGTGACGAAATTGCATGCAACATGTATCTACAAATTTATTCCTTACAATCTCAAATACAATTTCTCCCAAAAGGTTTACTATATAATTATCAATTGGTGAGGTTTGTTATTGAGGATTGGGCCAAAATTCCGTTTTCCGTTTACGTAACTTACAGAGTAGGTGGAGTATTAAATCGACGATTCTGTGGTCTTCTGAACTATTTGTTCGCAAACATGTACATTTTCTTAGACATATGATACTGACACATGCCGTGGGAATTTTGCCTACAACGCGTGGAATAAGGAAAAAAGAAAAACTGTACCTTCGAGGTTCCGACATTTTGTAACCGAAACGCTTCGTTTGGGTAACCAGCGTAATCGAGTGGATCACTAGTGCTTGTTACACCAATGATCGTGTGGATGCTATCAAAAACGATACTCAATTACAAGTGATCATGAAGGCTACTTCATTTACTATATCTTTAGAAAATGGAATAACGACTGGAACAATACTTTGCTTTCATTTGTTCTCCAACCTTTTTATTGAATATTTATGAAATACGAGACAATTGCAATGTATTAGAGACTACATTCATATTTACCATCGATCTCGTAATGAATTACATAAATATTATTTAGCGTTTTCAATATACAATTGTTGTATTTGATTAATGGCGTATCTCATATTCAAGCAAGATGTAACGTATTCCCATTGTTTCTTAAAAGGATTAAATCAATTTATACTGAATTAATTCATGCCATTATAAACGTTACAATAACCTATAACAAATTAAGATACACGATTAAATTAAAGGTAATGTAAGTTGAATTGAAGAACGATAGAATGCGTTATGCGATTACCACTGATAGTTATGTCTTGAATATAAGAACAGCTGTTGAACATTTTACATTGGAATAGAGCAATATATTTTCTACCATACGAATGTTTGATCGATTTCCTTTATAAACGTTTATCAAGTCGATTAAGGTTGGCATTTCTCAAATAAAATAAATACAAAAAGTTCATAGATAATATTTATTTATTAAATGAGATTTATGACGTGTCATCAATCGCCAATTTTTGGTTTTTGCAAGGGAAACGAACTAAACATCATCAAATGTGACTTTTTATATTGTGGATAATTTATATGACTCACTCACGTGGATACTCGCAATATTTTTCCATTGGTTTCAGAAACAGTCATTCTTTCCGAATGGAATCTCAATATCCACACAAAGAACACATATAGCATCGAATTCTATATTGATCGCATTCGAGGGAATATATATAAGTGGCTGGCTATCCTCAGGATCTTTAGATCTACGGCTCAATCGGAGATAAAGGAAGTCGATCTACGAGACAAGAAGGATGTTTCTCATTAAAGAGAATAGATAGATTCACCTATATCATTAATGGCGAAAGCATAACAGACGCATTAATACACCTGGATTAAAACAACATCTTCAAGCATGGATATGTACGTGACTTGGATTAAATATACATTTTGTATATTGATGATATATTTGTCAATTGCAGAAAGTTTTTTAATAGAGAATATATGGCCACCGGGACATCTTGGCAAGTATGGCTATCACAAAGCCCCGCCGCATACAATCGCAAAGGAGGATGGACGACCAAGATTACAGATTAATTCTAATATGATAAAAAAGGCGAAGGAAGATGTAAACAAGATATTACCAGGAAAGTAAGTATCCAGTTTAAAGAGGTAATCAAATAGAAAGCTCTTCGTTATAGGCTAAATTTAAAAAGGCATTTCGGTTACTTCATTTTTATTTGACGAATAAGATCATTATAAAATCAATCGTACATTGGAAATCTTCAAGAATACCTTTCGTACAAAGGTAAGTTCTGAACTAACGACGAAGTTATCTTAAAATTATGCATTTTAGGATACTTAAAGAAAGAAATCCTAATTGAGAATCTTGTTTCGAAAATCAATCTTTATTATAGATCAATCATTTGTTAATCTTCCGCGATCGGAACGTTGGAATGAGGTGGTTCAAAATGATCTTCATTTCCTTACTTGACCCTCTGTGTTATACATTCGATGCATTGATATCTTGGTGCTTTTTACTTCTGTTCATGTCACAATTTTAGAGATGATTGTCATGAATGGGCAATTTTTTTTATGAATATATGTTGTGACAAGGAATGTTTTGTTTTGTGCCTTTCGTGAACCTCGCAGATGGCATTTAGATTGGATATTGTTTACAACTTGTTGAGTTCATAAATTATCTGCTGTGTAGTGCAATCAGTGAAAGAGCTTCTAGGTATGATATACAAAACAGCGTATAAACCAAATAAATAGCACTGCAGTTGCATTGAAATTGTTTAAAACAACTTGATATTTTTAAATGATACCGCAGCAGTGTCGCATAAGCTTCTTAATATACAACTGGGGCTATAATTGTTTTTACAACAGACTTTAATACATAGCCATGGTCTTAGGAAGTTGCCAAATTTTTCGAGCAAAATGTTACACTCTAATATTAAGAGAAAGAATAGTGTGATAACCCAATTTATAAAACTGAGAGAGCAATTGTCAATTTAATCGAAGTATTTACGAGAGCTCTCGTGGCACTACAAAATACAACCCCGGGAATACAACTAGCCTATGAGTGGGACATTTAAGTGGTTAGTGGATAAATGGGCAGAGCTCTTAAAATATGGATCGGGTTTGCACCATTCTCGTGACTTCCGGTTCCATAAGCCAGATTTCTAGTGGAATTTTCACTGGATTATCTTGTTTCTTACTCAGATTGAGTAACATGATCAATCATGGAGTAACTTTAATACATCTACAACAAGCATTTGTTTGAGTAAAGTCATTTTTATAGGGGTCACAATTCTAGGATAAATGACAAGCTTCTTAACTGGCTATCCCAAGTGATGTAATCGTGACTTCTTATCACGATATCGCAATTAGGAGCTTGGGCAGTTTGAACAGCGCCTTTGCTTTTCTTATGGACTCCATACTTAGTCCTCTTTTGCCTACACCTGGCTTTGAGTGTCATGGATCATAGGTCCAGTCATATTGCATACAAGTATCAATTTGTCTAAAATGAAATTGTGTTTGTTATCTGAGACTGAATGTCTTCACTTTGGCGTTACGTCGTCATTAAAATGTGTGTGTAGATTTATGAGGGCATGCCACAAAGAAGTATTACATCTTTTGCCGGTATATAAAGGTGTCCACTGGACTTGTGAATTCTCCATTGATCCATCGAGTTAAGAGACATAGTCTACCTTTGTAGAAAGCTAAGAAAATTCTCTTCGACACTTGTTTCACAAATTGTGTTAATAATCATTCCAATTGTTGCCTAGTAGCTTTAATTGGGTTTTTTCCCTAACAGTGCGTCATTTCTTCTGCGTTAATGGTACCACGCATAACGGAGTATTCTAAACCTGCTTGAATTAGCTAAATACATGCAGATCTAAAATTTCAATACTTTAACCCTATAAAGTCAAATCTAAAAAATGGTACCGAGATTTTATTCCACAGTTGGAAAGGGCCTCTGTTTTTGCGTCTGGCGTTTTTGATATGTTTGTCTTTTGGATCAATACTTTTGACTTTGTACCATGCAAAATATGTTTTCTAGAACTTAGAACCACGGTCCATTTTTAGGAATAGAGAAATAAGGTGTATCTAATCTTCAATCTAAGGTTAGATTTGAATCCTGGGATTTTTTGGATGATTTTTTAAAAATAAAAAATCTTCAATTTGAAGCAGGTTGAAAAATGCATATTGGCCAATTTATCAAAGAATTCAAAATGGCCGCCTTTTAATGTAGCCAACATGCCCTGAGCCTTATCAGATATTGGTACTTGTCTGCATTTGTATCTGTAAAGATTTGAATTTAACGGTATTCCTGGAATTTTGATGATTATAATAATTGATTAATGTGGCAACCGCCCACATATCCGCACGCCCTCGTGCCCGAACGCCAACGACAATACAGCACTTTTTTGCAATCAAAAGATATGTCGGAAAACTTCCAATAGAGTTTGTTCACGTTGATATGCGGTAAGCAGCTGTCCCGTTGTATAGCAAAAACAGGTACCCAGCGTTGTAATTATTGTAGTACCGCTTGGTGTTTCTACAAATACCATTGTTTTGTTTAATAAAATTTGTTCGCAAGTAAGGAAGCAAATATTGATGAAACACTCAAGTACCACCTGAGGGTAAAGGCGTTCATGGAATAGCGTTATAAAATGCTGGAAATCGATGTTAATAGGATTATTATATTTATTTTACGTATTTGTTTGGAGATAAATAATAAATTGTTTAAATTATAAGTATAAAGTAGAAATAAATAGGCTATATAATATTCACATGAGAAATGACTTGAAGACGATGGACTGCACTTTGTAAAATACAGGATAATTCTTTGGAATTTCCTTGTTTCTGTTTCATTTATACAATAGGCTATTTAATTAGCCTACAGTCTCTGGTTAAATAGCTATAGAATGAGAGCGGCAACTTAAGACAAAAGCAGTCCCTCCTCTCCCCTCGCGCACTCTATTAGCTCGATAAGTACACAGAGTATCTCTCTTTATCACATCTTTAACTATTGATTAACGAATCAATGTATTCTGTACAAGAGATTTATCAATTATTAAGGAGAGTAGGTATAATCATCTTTAGCAGAACAACATCAAATGAGAGCTTCAAAGTGAGTTAAACAATTACAAATCAAAATACGGTTCTTATTGCACATATTTGCATTTTGCCAATTATATAATCATAAATGTTGTTCAACCTTTAGGTGTCTACATCTACAATCGAATAGTTATATGAATTATGGACGATTGATACGTTTAATCCAATACAATTAGTAGTCCAGTTCGGACAAAGTACGAACCAGCCTTGAAATGTCTTAATACCACTGGTGATCCACTCGATTACGCTGGTTACCGAAACGGTTCGTTTTGGTAACAAAATGTCGGATCGTCGAAGGCACGATTTTTCTTTTTTCCTTAATTCACACGTTGTTGGCAGGATGCCCTCGACATTTTTATCACAAACGTGTATCAGTATCATATGATTAAGAAAATGTACACATTTGCGAACAAATAGTTCAGAAGACAGCGGAATCGTCGATTTAATTCCTCACTTAAGTTACCGAAACGGTATTTCGAAAAACAGTTAAGATCTGCACTTTTAACTCTTACCGTTTATGTAACTTAAGTGAGGAATTAAATCGACGATTCTGCTGTCTTCTGAGCTATTTTTCGCAAACATGTACATTGTATAAAACATATGATACTGATACACGTTTGTGAGAAAAAATGTTATGGTTATTCTGCCTACAACGAGCGAAATAAGCAAAAAAGAAAAATCGTACCTTCGACGTTCCGACATTTTGTTACCAAAACGAACCCAGCGTAATCGAGTGGATCACCAGTGAATACGCGCATATGTACTTTAAATAATCCTAGGTTTAGACACATAAGCTCAGGAATAAATTTTCACTTGATCATGCTGAATGAATCGAATGTTTTCTATTAGAATACCAAATAAACCCGAAGAGGGATGATATTAATTGTTCGAGAGAAACAACAAAGAACCTTCAGTATAACCGTAATTTGATTAGAATAGGCAAAATCAAATTAGATTTGATTGAACAACTAATGACTGCACTTCTAGGTGTTTACCATAACGGTCAACATCCATAGGGAAGAAATGGAGAATAAATTGGAAACCGAAGATGTTGTCACGCAATAAACCACTTGGCTCGTATTAACGAATCACGCATACAAGTTAATCAAATCACCATTACCGAGAATAAGAAAGCTCAATGGGTTACATAAGCCAATAGGTTAAAAAATTGACTGATTTATTGTGGAATAATTGAATTGAAATTGAAAAAATGGGGTTACACACAAAGAAACCGAGTGCAACGTGAACTTTTCTTTTTCATATACTTTCAAGTGCGATATTCATCACCGGGTGCCATGTTTAATTTGTGGATAATATGTTCTACCTATGTCTCATATCGACACTAAATAGGTGCAACCTTGAAATAGCCTCTTACGAGTAATCTTAATGAAATACATCCGATTCAGTTGGGAATTCGATTGATCTAGACTCAGTATTACATCCTCGGTATTTCAGATACAATGTACGTTTTTTCCCTTTTTAAATCATTTAGCTCATGATAAGTCATAGAATATTATAGCTACGATAATAAAGGTATCATCTATTTTAAAGGTCACCCTTGCCTTCTCCAAGAAATAAATATAAAGCTTAAGTGAATTTTTCTCGACTAATCGGAAGCAAGAATGTAGAACTTAGCATTGTTGATTGATATTTTTGGTAAGTTTCGGGCCTTATATTATAGGCATCCTCATTGTGTTGGAAGCTAGACTATAATCTACGTTTTAAAAAAAACTCTGGTTATCGTAATAATGACACAAGGAACTGTTATATGAGAATTTAAGATACATTCTCATCAATAAGACTGTTAGTCGGCTTTTTGGATTTTGTGTTGAAACCTGTTTGTCAGAATTTACATCTACAAAACAATTTTTGAAAATTTGAAAACTATAGAATGCAGATATAAATTGAGTTAATAACCAATCGATCTTATTTTGATTTCCTCCCAAAAACGTATTAATTCCTCGTTACGTCATGTCGAAAATTGATGGCAAGTTTGAACAACTTTTGAAAATTGGCATTCCTATGACAAAAAAAATATATCCATATCCACTTTTGGAGGAGAGGGTATTGAAGCAATGTTAACCCTTTATCAAACCTTCCATGGAAGTATCAACTGCATCGCCAGAGCAGGCTTATATATTATATCCTGGGTATTTTTGTGACTTACGCTAATGTGGACGTCGAAATGTCTTCTTAATTGAACAGTTTGATGATGTTGTAATGGATTTAAGACAGATAACGACAGACTTAAATAACAAAAGTCACATAACATTGACGTATACGATCCAATGTCCAAATGACACGCTTTGAAATTGTGAAAGCCAGAGACCAAATTGCCAATTAGCTTTACATTGGTTCATCCTGATTTATTACGAAACGAGAGTGCTTCTGCAACACTGATTTGATTCGTAATGTCAATTTAACGTTTCCCACATTAACAGAACGATGGGGATTGTCTTATTTGGATGGCATTAGACAAAATTGATGAGCTAGAAATCAGCTAATGGAATCGGACAAAATAACGCTAAGACGTTGCAATATTTGAACAAGCGCATAATCGTATCAACTCAAGACGATAAATTCTGATTTTGCATATCTGTTGCATCTTAGTTCCGCTCATTATATATGCATTTGTTATTAGGTATTGCGTATCCAACGGAGAGATGTATTCATTGAGCCCACCTTTAATAACTCTATGGAGTAATTACGAATGTTCATTTTCTGAATACCATATATAAATGGTGTAATATTATGTCGTCTAGGAATGACAAAATATGTTACCACCGGCACATCTTTTGTTTTAACAGCCAATCTTTCTTTTTTCTCATGGACGAGAATAATCAGCGCTTGAAGAGAGAATGTCGCTTGATTTAGCACCTTCAGGCCAAGCGAGAAAATTAAATTTCCGGGGAGCACTGTATCCTTGATGGCAAACCGATAGTTTGGGAAGCGTTCAATGTTAGTGCGAGTTTTATGTCCATTACTAGAAGTTTAAAAGTAATGTGTTATATCCCTGTGGACCCCGATTATATGGATGTTGAACTGCAGTAGAACATTGTTTAGGGCATCTTAGGTACATAGTGAGTTCCATTTGGCTCATTGGGACGAACTTTATTATCAACTACGGAAATTAAGCTAATTTGTTCCCAATTCTGGAACCTAGTAGTTCTGTCGAGCGTATGTTGTATACCCACGTCTCGGGCCAGGCACTAAAAGCTTTAATTCCCAAGATGTAGTTCTAGATGACAGGGTTAATTTGCTTCATGTATATAAACCATAACACATTTGTTTCAAGAGGGTGATCAGTCATCCGACCTTTAATCACATTGAATTTTTTCGAGGCATATACCTGTAGAAAACACGTCGAGATTTCTTTTTATACAATTAAAGTGTATTTAATTAAATTTGTATACATACACTTTAATTTAATTTAATTGATTTATTGCGCGATTTGAGTGCCCACTTTAATTTTATACACTTTAATTTAATTTGTAATTTATTGCATAATTTAAGTGCCCAATTTAATTTTATACAATTTAATTTAATTTGTAATTTATTGCATAATTTGAGTGCCCAATTTAATTTCATACACTTTAATTTAATTTGTAATTTATTGCATACTTTTAGTTCTCAATTGTTAACAGCATAAGATGAAAGACTGTAAGTGGAAATCAACGTCTCCCGGCAAGAGGTTGGGGCAATCACGAAGAAATTGGGACCTATTTCTGACATTTTGGCCCCCAAATCTGAAAATATAGGCTCAATTCCTTAAAAATAGGCAAACCAAATAAAATAATGCATGCCCAGTAATGCTAATTTGTTACCTAAATTGCCAGATTTTGGACACTAAATTTTTGGGCCCACCAAGGAGAAGGGCAGACACCAGATAAGCAACTTATAGTATTTACTAAAGTACCAAAAATTAATATCAAATCAAATGAAGACTCCTCAAGAGATCTGTTACTTGTATGCGTAATTATTCCTCGTTGTTTCTTGCAGGTCATCACAAGATGAAGCTCATCCAACTCAATCAGCACACGAATCAACGACCACTAAAATAAAACAGCAGATCAAGGGCACGGTTGTGAAATCACCAAATGACGTCATTACAAAATCCCCCTTTAAGAAGCTTGTCAATATTGACATTAACAATGATACGGCTGATAGCCCAAATAGCCAACATGTCAAGCTTCAATATCTGTACTATGACTTGGATAGAGTGAATATCTCAAACGATAAAAATTTACCGGATGACGGTGTTAATTCAGTGGCCACTTTAAGCAAATGTGACCTCCACGTGTTCAAGCATTGTGGTACTGATGTTATGGCAACCCTCACATCGGGCAACATCTGTATCTCTCTAAAGGTAATATATTCCGTCATAAATTATGCATGAAAGAAAATAATTAAGTCAACCAAATCCCAAGTGCCAAACTACAAGATCAGAACTATTCCTAGAGGTAGGCTATATCGACCGCCGAGAAAAATCAGACTCTATTGAAAGATGGTGGGAGAAAAGGTGTCAAAAGTGTTTCTTCTCTTTGTAGGTTTCATCATGGTTTGGGAGAGTAATGATTCATTTTCTTTGTAAAGTAACGCCGGGAGTAACGCTCTCTTCAAATTGCTTTGCATACTTTTTGTTTTGTAATACCTTTCGATAGTTTTCCATTTTGGCACTTGTGTTTTCTTTTATTCGCCAAATGTTTTAAATCTATTAAGAAATACTTAAAACCAAATGTAGATGAACCCCTATTTTAATGATCAAGCTTCTCAAAAATGATTTTTTAACTTTTTGACTAAGTCGATCATTTAAAAAAGTAATACAGGGTGTCCGGAAAGTAAAGATACAAATACTCTAATTCTAAGAGATTTAGTTTTTTTGTAATGAAATCGCTACAGATTGTAGAGGAACTACATTACAATACATCTTCCAACGTTTATAACATATAGTCTAAATTTGTTAAAGCTACGGTTGTCATGGTAACGGTGGTGAGGGGTATGCGGAGCAGTTCCAGGATATCGCTAAATTGTGATAAGTTGCTAAAATATAACCATTTGAAATAGTGTTTATTATTGTATTTCTTATCAGTTTTTTGTTTTGTTCAATATTGTATTATTGCTGTCATAGTATTCTCTTTAGTATAACGGTATCATTGATACATATCAGAACTATATAATGTCACAAGTATAATCAAAGAAAAAGAGTATATAAGTGCTTAGAAAAGGGGTCCCTGGATTAATAGAAAAGTCAATAGTGCACCTCCACAGTCAGTGCTCCAATGCACAAACCAAAGAAAACAAATCTTACAGTTGAATGTCTGGACATTAACCTTTTTGTACAATGGCCCATATTTCCCTGATAATGTCCCGTTGGACTTCTACATTAATGAATATGTTAGAGCAATATTTGTGAGAAGTTCAACATAAAAATGAGACTCGGCTGAAACCCAATGTTATCTGCAATCTTAGAGACTGACAGCAAAGGTTTTGTCAGATCTTTTAATCTCCGGTCAAAATGCACCCAGAATGTTTAGATAAAGGTGGAAAATACAAAATACTGGATAACAGTAGTACTGTCAAATTATTAAATAATGTTACAGTACTAATCCTTTTGCTGTTGTGCTACATAATTTGATGCATAATAGCAAGTGTCAAGATGATATGAACAGGAGAAAAGAATTACAAAACATAATTGTGACACTGCTCCACATACCCGTGACTCCTGTTACCATAACAACCATAACTTTTTTATTTTGAAACAATTTGTCATGACAGTTGCAGGATAAATTGTTACAATATCATTCTACAATCTGTAGCAATTTCATCTCACAACAGGTAAATCTAATGAAATTAGAGCATTTGTATCTTTACTTTCCGGACACCCTGTATGTACTATCGCCTATACCGTCCGTCATGTACACATTGTTAGAAACAATAAGGAAATTAGTATATTTTCCCCAAATATTCAAAACAATATCTTCTCAAACAATCAACATACAAAAACATTTCCAACTAAATTGATCAGCGCTTGTTTTCAAATCTGCTGACAGAATACTCACCCCCCCCCCCCCCATTAAAATGCCATTATTTTTATGACACTATTGTGAGAAAAATAGTCGTCCAAATAGTGAGATAATACATAGAAACATCATATTGATTTAATACAATCGATGCTTATAAGTAAGGATATCAAGAAATATTGGTTATTATCGGCTTTATATCTGTCAACAGATCATAGTTCATGTATCATAAAAACCAAATCAAGAAAGGGCATTAATATTTGACATGAAATCTCAACATAAATGGCGCTAACTGACAGCTGATGTGATAACATTCTAGATAATAAAAGGTTTTATTTTCAGGCTTTCACCACGTGTGTTAATATGCAGGGAACGAGCTGTCATAGAAATTCTGTGTTGAGAGCAAGACAAATGATGCCCAAAATAGACACATTTTTCTCAGAGGAAGGAACATGTGAGGGACACCCATCGGATGAATATACTGCGAAAAGTACGGGTATATACCTTTATTCTTTATTATGTCTCTTGCATCAGGTTTAATCGGTACTAACCAAGATGGTGAGAATTTTGAATTCTCGATTTAGGCCCGATTTCAACTTTTTAGCCTTTTGAGATCTGAACTCTTAACAATGGAAAGGAGTGCAATTTTTACCAAAATATCCAATCCAATATTCTGACGGCCATATCTTACATTTTGGTACATTGAGCACTGAAACTCGCTACAGCAAACATAGAAATGTCATGAGAAACCGACTTTTATAAACTTTGCCACCTGATGCCTTGGTCATATTTGCTCCGATTTTCACTACGGCGCCCGGCCGATTGAGTATTTTGTTCCAAACAATACAATTTTGAACAAAACACTCAATCGGCCGGGCGCCGGCCGACGAATCGGAGCAAATTTGTCCCAAGCTTAAACTCTTAAATTACACCTGATTTGGGTCAAAACTCGATATTTGAGGCTAAGTTTGAGCCGTTTTGATTTACGTCGATCTCACTGTTGTCATTGGTTGTTTTGTCATTTACTGGATTCTGATTGACTTTTCGAAATTTTCAAAAATGAACCTAATTTAATAATGGTGGCATATTTTAGCTTATTATTGAAATAACCAAACTGTGCCAAAAATGAAAGATTAGTCTGCATTTGGTTCAAAAGTCAATGCGATATCTGACCTGGGAGTCGGGCGGCTAGTACAGTACAATAAATAGCTGGCTCATTATCGCATTAATGCACTGATCCAGCAATCATTAACACTAATGGATGATCTGTAATATCATTTGGGATTTTAATGCTACCTTATCATGGCTATATCAGAGTAAATAATGCCAGATCAAAAAGACCTGGCACAAAGGACTGTTTGGAAAAAATATGCCAGAATAGATAGTGTTCCCTCGCCGGATATTAAAGCTCCCATAATTCTATCGATTGCCATGCCTATCGGAAAAAATACAATCACTGAACAATACCGTACTTGAAAGAGAATAAAGAGAATTTTAAATGTAATGCATCATTTCTTAGAGTAATATTAATTTATCTATTAGTGAGTTGTCTGGAATTTGTTGTTTGTCGTTAACTTAATTAATTGATGAATTTCTATTTCAGGAATGTCTAAATGTGGATCGGGCGTTCATCTATGCGTGAAAAGATTCATAAAGCACGTAAAGGGTTCTGGGAGCTACTGCCTTCCCATATTACATCTGAGAAAATGTACAAGGCGACATCTATCACACTGTGAGGAATCAGATAAACAACTGATCAAACTGGGAGTTGAAACATTTTACAAAACATACAAGCATTTCACTCCGGGTCAAACATGTTAAACCATTGTTTAAGGGTACATGTAGCTGAACATAACAATGGATTATCCCGTAATTTGTTATATTTTGTAACGACTAACGACAAGGGTGTAAAGCAGACCCCGATGATACCATCTTGCTCGGTGGTTTCATGGCTATGTCGCGGGGCTTTATGTATTAGCGAGCTCGGCGGTTGGTTCAGCTAAGCGGGGATCCTCAAAAGCTCACGGTATCATCGTGTCTGCTTTACCCCTGGTATATTCGCTCGCTGATATTCATTGTCACCATGAATTCAATTTTCAAACAGTGACAAATACGACATACAATGTACAGTGGAAAACTTACTACTAATACTGGCATTTAACACAAGGAGGATTGGCTCCCGGAGTGCAACATCGATAATCGGTATACTTGGGTCAGTCAAAAAGTTCTGTTTATTTATCTCTAACTTTGTCATTTTGAGGAATTATTTCTTGATATTTGGTACATCTATAGAACATACATTTGTGCAAATATTGACTAAACATTTTATCTCAACTATCATTGGTTACTGAATAACGGTTGCTATGGTAACAGAAGGGCGATGTACTCGGTTCAACCCAATTTTATTGATTTTCATACACTGTTATATTACATGAAATATACTTTAAACTGTCTCAATATTTAAAAACTCCTTTCTAACTAAGTCCCCGATGTCATATCTAAGTTTAATTTAGTTATTTAGCCTTCAAAATAGTCGCCTCCTGCAGCAATGACCTTTCGGTGCCTTTCTACCCAATCTCTGAAGACCCCTTTGAAACCGCCAGCCGACAATTCATTTTAACGTTTGCGCACCGCTGCCCGCAGAGCCTCATCGGAATCAAACCGGATCCCCCGAAGACCCCTCTTTAGATTGCTGAAGAGGTAAAAGTCACATGGAGATGTGTCTGGGGAGTATGGTGCTTGTGGAATCCTGCTCCATTGGAGGTCTTCTAAGGCAGTCTTGGTAACATTACTTGTATGGGGACGAGCTTCTTTGTGGCATTCACATTCATCAAGAAACTGCCTCGAGACATCAATTCTTTCTTGCCTCTGTTCTTGAGTGAGGAATCTTGGAACCCATTTTGAGGCTACGTAACGCTTTTTCAATACTTTAGTGATGATCGTATGACAAGAGCCATGAGAAATATTCAGAATAGAACTAGTCTCATCCAGTGAAATGTGCTTATCTTGCTCAATCAACTCTTGTATTTTCTCAGCATTGTCCTCATTCACAGAACTTTCGGGCCGGCCAGTCCGTGCTGAATCAGACAGTTTATCCCTTTTCCAGACAAGAAGTCATTGAACCATCTACAGACATTATTATATCTTGGAGCATCCTGTCCAAAGCACCTTTAACAAGTGAATATGTCTCTTGCAGTCTTTTCCTGTTTTCTACCATACACTGTATCAAGTTTCTTTGCTTCCACTTTAACAAATTGCTAGGCGAATCAATATTTGACATGACTTTTTCTCAAAATCCCTTTTTCACTTTTTCATCTTTTCATCCTGAAAATCATTTGTGTCAGCTGAAAACTGTCACAATTGAATATATCCTTGACTGTGATTTCATCAAGACAATGGAATTGGAATCAAAACCTGTCAATTTGCAAAATCTGATATTTTAACATGAAAAACTGTTCAATGATTTGATGCCAAATGAAATTAATGTGACATTATTAAAAATATGACGTTTTTAGCTGAACCGTGTACCCGTAATTCTGTTACCATAGCAACCATAATTCAATAACCAATCATAGTTGAGATACAATATTTAGCCATTAGTTGCACAAATATATGTTCTATATATGTACCAAATATCAAGAAGTAAATCCTCAAAATGACAAAGTTAGAGATAAATAAACAGAACTTTTTGACTGACCCAAGTATATTGGCATGTCGTGATACAAAATTCGAATTCAAACAGCCGCCATTTTGTTCACTTCAACATTTGAATCGTGGATTTTGGTCTTATTTCCTAACGAAAAATTCCCAAATATTGGGTCTAATCTATTTATTTTGAATTTATAGTCGCTTATACTTTCACAAAATAACGACATTTCGACGTTTTCATTGTTGGAAAATATCGAGTTTCGATCCTGGGAGCCAATCCTCCTTGCCTAAAATAAGGTTTCATCTACATAAGTGCAGTAATAATGTTCAAACAAATGATGAATGGCACATTACATAGTACTATATAGAAAAGTGTTGCTTTCAACATCATACAAGTCATGTACAGTGCAAGTATATGAAAAGTAAATCGTATAACCTGCAGCTGATAGCAATGTTTGCGTTTTAGACTGATGCTGTATCATGTTCTATTGCTAAAACCCATAACCCATATTCTGTTGAAAATGTTGGTTCATTTTGTCAAACACGTTAGTGCACTGGCATGTAGCGATTATAGCGGTCCTGTCTTGGCTTATTGAATTGTTACGAAGTTACGTATGCGGTGCGGAAGTTAGAGAGCAAATGACCATCATTTCAATGTAATAGTTTATGCAGGAAAATTGAGATTAGGCCATTGGAGTATTTGTTTCATGCATTTGTAAAACATTACCCACTCATAGGTCATACTTATCGTTAAACCAATAACTCAAATATATGCCCTTGTACACCGATCACCTGTTGAAATTAATACAGGCCGATTTCAACAAATGTAAAGGGCGATATATTTAAAATCGTATTCAAGCATGATCACGCCCCACTTCTTTTGTTTTCTTTACAACTAAGCTATGACTGCAGTCTATTCAGTGTTGCGTATCGAACCTTGTTTATTATAAAAATAGTGCAACAACAAGCAGAATTCACACATTTACCTTATACTTATTCTCAACTGAAGACATTGAATTTATCTCTTAGGTTTTACATTATAAATATCTTAACATGCAGAATACGAAAATAGAGGCTTAGGCCCAACTTTGTATGAATTTTATGAGAATAATCTGATTTTAGAGAAATGAAAAGAAAAATGTCCACACCCTACACAAAATATTTATGGTTCCCCGGGAATACGTATGTGCTGCTTGTATATTAGAATCGTATTCCAGTTACAGAAAGAAGTACATATCATGCTAAACTATATACAACAGTTATGCACTTGGAGGTTTTGGATACAGGGAATATCCCGAGGGATATATAATTCATCTTCCCTTGGTCCCTTCGGTCCCTCGGGAAGATATATTGTATATCCCTCGGGATATTCCCTGTATCCAAAACCTCCAATTGCATAACCCCTATATATTGGCCAAGGGATAATCCCAATATCCTGAACCGCGACTATAGGATAATATGTTTATCCCATACCAATCTTGGTCATCTGGTTCACATTGTTAAATCGTGGAAACATTTTAGAATATTCATGTCCAGTTTTGTTTTCTTGGCCGTGGGCGGATTTTCATGTTCTCTCAAATATTCCCATATTTATTTTCTCGAATTTTTTATTGATTAAGTGGATGCTCTTTCCCCTTTTTTAACTATCAAACAGACCCTGATTGTCTGTGTTTTCTCCATTGCCGTTTACAGTCATTCCGCGAACGTTACAAATTATGAACAAACATGCAAGCGGCGATTATGACGTAGCGGGCAGATATACTATATCTGCCCGCTTGGAGCGGGGCGTAAAGCTTTATCCCATGGTTGCAAGGAGGATATAGATCGAATATCACATGATGATATATTTGATATGTGGATCAAGATATCATATTTTAGCAAACAATTTACAAACCATCGAATATCTCTTTTAAACTATCGAATATCACATCTTAAATAGAGGATATCCTATGATTTATGAGTGATATGATTTTTATCCACGAATGGATATGATATCTGCACGAGTGAGCGTAGCGAGAGAGTGCAGATATCAACATCCATAAGTGGATTAAAATCATATCACGAGTAAATCATAGGATGTTCTTTATATTCCATAGTTAAAGTCATCATCAGAATCGTCGGGAATTAAGTGATTTAAAACGAATTTTCCAAACGATAAGGGAACATGGGGCAAAGCGGCCCAAAAAATTTAATTTTAAGTTGTTCTGTACGGGGTATTCTCGTATCTGTCAATCATCGCGCACTTTGATGTTCCACTTTATTAATGGTTTGTGGTTTACATTTTTCGAGTGTTTTATACTTTCCTAGGACTATCTTCTGTGATTTTTTAATGGTCAAAGATATTGTCGAGAGTGGGGCAAAACGGCCCATGGGTGGGGCAAAACGGCCCACCCTCTGTTACATGGGTTTTGAAACCAAAATTAATCAATTACAAGACTCGTCCACAAACATCTTATCTCAAACGTTCAAACCTTTGACAGATAAAGTATTCTTAACCCCTACCATAATTCTAGTCATTCGATATGTGTCGGAAGGAAATAAGGCACAAGCCAGATGTTAAAATTGTTACATTTGAAAACCAATTGTTCTTGCACAATAAGATTTTTGTATGTTATAACATGTGTGGGCCGTTTTGCCCCAAAGACATGTGAATTTTCAAATAGACGTCATTTTAATTTGCCTAATATTTGAAGCTCGAAATTTTTACAAATAAAGAATAAATGTGCACACTCTATGTAAAATGTTAAATCAAAACGATATTCTATTGTTGCCGGATTTTTTAGAGATTCTCGTGAGAGGGGTAATTTCCAAAAAAGAGGGTGAAAAGTAGAATTACCTCTTACGTAAAGCGAGACGCTGATTGGTTAAAAATGGACGGTCGAGAAGGTGGCAGATATTTCAAAATTCGATTTTGTGACTTTTGAAGAACCATCTTTTTATAGTTCAAAAGATATTTCGATGGGCCACTTTGCCCCAGAGGGCCGTTTTGCCCCATGTTCCTACTGCGATATTGACACTTAGCCTCGTTTTGAGTCTGAAGTAGCAAAAATCCATAAACCATGGCATACGGCGCCGGATGTCATGGCTAAAAGCCCCCCCCCCCCTAAAACACCGTATGCTATGGTTAAGTGAAAATTTGCCAAAAATATCATATTTTACCACTGATTTCAAAAATACCGTTTTTATTTTGACATGTTATCCTATGGATATCATGCTAACTATGGAAAAATATAGGAATATCCTATGGCTCTGAAAAAATATCACTTATATCCATGAGTGGATATTGATATCTTCGCCAGTGAGCGCAGCGAATGAGTGAAGATACTGATATCCATGAGTGGATATAAGTGATATTTTTGAAAAAACATAGGATTGTCCGTTTATCCCATTGGGAATTATTATCCAGCGAACATTGAATAGTCAGATAAATTGCAATGGAAATTCCATTTGGTCTGACATTTTGATTGCGATAATTCAACGAACGTCATATACGTGACGTAACAGAGTGGTTTGTATTTAATGCGAACGCCGTAAAAACAAGATCCCAAAAAATAAAAATATATAATAAATATATAAACAATCGTTTTGCTGAATTAATAAAAAAATTGAAAAAATCAAAACCATCGAATATCACTTTTGAAACCATCGAATATCACTTTTGAAACCATCGAATATCACCTTTCAAAAAGTGACATTCGATGGTTTCAAAAGTGATATTCGATGAGTTGGGAATTGTTTGCTAAAATATGATCTTCATCCACATATCAATTATATCTTCACGTGATATTCGATCTATATCCTTGTAACCATGGGATAAATAAGGGTTATGTACTGGGGGGTTTTGGATATGGGGTTTTTCCAGAGGGAGATATGCATATCTACCTGAGGGACCGTAGGGACAGAAAGTAGATGTGCATATCTCACGAGGGATGAACCCAATATCCAAACCGACCGTACATAACTGCTTTATCCTATACCAAGTAGAGTTTTCAGTAGTACAAGGTGTAAAAAATAAACAAATCATTCATATGCAAAGTCATTTTATTAGACTCCAGATTGAAAATCTGGAGTCTATTGCTTTTGCCAGTTTTCTTATTAGACTCCAGATTGAAAATCTGGAGTCTATTGTTTTTGCCTGTTTTCTTTATTAGACTCCAGATGTCAATCTGGAGTCTATTGTTTTTGCCAGTATTCTTATTAGACTCCAGATGTCAATCTGGAGTCTATTGTTTTTGCCAGTATTCTTCTTCTTCTTATTATTTTTCTTTAAGAGTTTTTTCAATAACTATAAGGTATCCAGTAAAGATCATAATACAGTGTATTTAGGTTCAGTATCTAGTTGGTGGGAAATTGGGTCAAATTTTTATCTAGGTCAAAGGTCAAGAACTAGGTCAAATCCAGTACTTTGTCACTTTTTTCGATTTTCTCAGTCGTCCTTCAATATTTTCGATCCGGGTTTTTTTCATTGTGTTCCTCATAAAAAAGTAGTATAAAGAAACACGATTTAGATTTTTGATATCTCGAACCGATTTTGAGATATCAGTGTCCGAAGACGAGGTCCAAAAAAAAATTCTCCGAATCAAATGTCCAGGATATTAGTCTTATAGGAAATTTTCTCAGGATTCCGAATCTGAAAATTAAATTTGAATTCGACTTCCGGTTCAGAAGTTATGGCGTTTTAAAAGCTCAAAAATCGCTAAATTTGGTGCCCATGTTAAGTCAATGGGAAAAAATATTTTTTTGAAGTGAAAAATACGAAATATAGACTGAGTTCAGCTTAATATAATGATAGCTTTTAAAAAAATGGGACCTCAAAAGCCATCTAGCTTCAAAATTTGGACCCCAAAATGCCTAGGTCAAAATCTAGGTCAAATTCGAGGTTTTTCCTTATTTTTGCGATTCTGACACTACAGATTATTTATATTCTTCGAAATTTTGTATACATGTAGACAAGAGTGTGCTAATAGTGTTAGCCTTTTGCCGTCAGGAAGTATTTTGCCCCACTTTTGAGATATGGTGTCCAAAAAGTAGGTTAAAATAAAAAATTCTCCAAATTTAACGTTTGAGTTATGAAGTAAGTATAG